TGATTTGATTTTTTATGATTTGATTTGTTATTATTTGATTTATGAAGATGAGGATATGTGTTATATTTTCATTCCAACTATCCCTGTGTTATTTTTTTTGTTCGAACAAAGATAATCTAATGAAAAAAATATAACATGAGGATAATTCGAAAAGAAAAAAACACAATGATAGACGTAACGAAAAAAATAATATAAAGATAGTCTGATTGAAAAAAATAACATCTGAATAAGGATAATCAGAACGAAAAGATAACACAAAGATAGTCCGAATGAAAAAAAATAACAGAGAGATAGTCGGAACAAAAGAATAACATAAAAATAGTCCATACGAAAAAAATAACAAATAAATAGTCCGAACGAAAAATAACATGGGATAATCTGACTAAAAAAAACAACGCAAAGATAGACGGAACGAAAACAATAACATGTGGATAATCCGAACAAAAGAATAATATATGGATAATCCGAACGAATAAGAAATACAAAACTAAATGAAAAAATAACACAAAATAAAAGTTTGAACAAAATAAAAATATATTTATTGTGTTAATAATAAATTAATAACTAGGGAAGAACCCCGCTTTACGGGGTTGTTTTCATTCAATTACAATATACATTAATTACTAAATGGATAGTTCGGTCAAACGGAACGAAATACAAATACAGACATTCATATGTGTGTTTTTGTTTCTTTTGCATCAATGTCAAAAGGATTTAGAATGTAAAAAACGACAAATGACAAATGACACGATTATCCTCTATTAATTTGTTTTGTAAATTACTATCTTAGTATTACTTGAATTAGTTAGCTTTGCTAATAGATTTTTACTTCTAAATATTTAATCAACTGTATATGTTCATATTTATGGTCATGAAACTCCACCGAATCATTACATGAAAATCTATACACAAAATATCAAAAATAAACATGTGAGATTGAACAAAGAATTACTTTTGATTTCATTTATAGCCACTGATAATCAATAATCACAGATTTGACAAAAACATGTTAGTATCATAGGTTCAATTAACCGTAAGAAAAACAAAATGCAAGATGATGAGTAAAAGTGCCCCAAGTGACAAACCTTTGCCCACTGAAAATCAACAATTCAAAACTTTAACATCAACAATCAAAAAATGAAATCACATTCTCTCTTCATGTTGGAAGGTGATAGTCTACGATTCCATTCCAAACATGAACATCAACAATCCAAAAAATGTTCAACAAAATGTATTGGAAACTTGTAAGAAATTCGGGATAAAATAGTCTTGGAAATTCTGAGAATTGTGGTTTCACTTTCGGATTAAAGTATTTGGGTGATACTCCCAATCTTTAATCGGATAAGACTTAGAATTGAGAGCAAGAACTGAAAATATGGATGTTATGAATTTCGTGATTGTTGTTGTACCCAGAAAAATGATGACCAAAAAGATTAAGTAGTTCATTTGTCTGAAAACTATCAAGGCAGTTTTCTTTGTCCAAGAAATTCGATCCCAGCCAGGGGCTCTGCCCCTTGGACCCCGCTCCCAGGGGCGCTGCCCCCGGACCCCCGTTCGTTTAGGGGTTTCGCCCCTAAATGACAGTCTACTTTGAATCTTGAATAAATTTAAACAAGTGTGCACTCCGCACCTTCCTTACTTGTTTATATTCATCAAGATTGATTTTGGTCAACAAGTCAATCCATTACATACACTTAAATAACACATTGATGATACAAAATCACCAACAACCTCCCCCATTTAAGTGTAATCTTGATTAACTTAAAACAAAACATAACAACAACAAACTGATGCATAAATGAAACGTCATGACGATTGAATTTCACATTAGTATATTATTCATTCCAAATATTCGAATATCAGGGTGTCACTAATGATTGAACCCTTTTTATTCATAGTGAATATATGAAGATAATACACACAACAGTTTATATTTTCATAAGTTCTAACTTGACACTATATTTTACTAGCTTGTGTCCCATCCCTCAATAAGCATATCAAAGCCAAGTCCTAACTTCTTGAAGCAGCTAAACTTCATGCTTATATAGGTAGTCCTTTTATTCTTGCACCTGCAAATGCAATTTTTCAAAAGAACTATTAAGAATATAAATTCAACCTCCTTAACTTGCAATACTGAACACATACCTTGGGATGATGATAATAGTGTGTTCCAATCTTTAAATATCAAGTTTTCCACATTGAATTCAGCATCTAATATTATATTAGATGTGAATTGGGTATCTCAATATAAAAGATTTAAGTGGACTTTAAACCCATCCATATAGTCGCCTTGTGCACAAAATCTCTTGCTAACCCTTTGGTTAGATGATCGGCTAAATTCAACTGAGTTCTTACAAACTCCACAAATATCACACCAGTCATGATGAGCTCACGAATCATGCTATGTCTAACACCTAAATGTCTAGACTTTCCATTGTACACTTGACTATAAGCCTTAGCCAAGGTTGTAGCACTATCACATCTGATCGAAATGGTAGATATCGGTTTGGGCCATAATGGAATTTCATAAATCAAATTCCTTAGCCACTCAGCTTCTTTACTAGCAGCAGACAAAGCAACAAACTCAGACTCCATGGTTGAGTTAGTGATACAAGTCTGTTTCTTAGATGCCCAAGAAATGGCACCTCCTCCAAGAAGAAACACCCAACCACTAGTAGAGGAGTGATCCTCTAAGTTGTTAATCCAGCTGGCATCTGAATAACCTTCTAAAACAGAAGGATATCTACTATAAGTTAAACCATAATTCAAGGTCCTTTTTAAGTACTTGAATACTCTACTCACGGCTTGCCAATGATGTGAACTAGGATTACTAGTATATCTACTAAGCCTTCCCACAGCATATGTTATATCAGGCCTAGTACTAATCATGGCATATATTAGACAACCAATAGCCCTTAAGTATTCTAGTTGAGACACTGGAGATCCTTTATTAGGTAGAAGCTTAAGACTAGGATCTATAGGAGTGCTAACAGGAGAATAATTCTCAAAGTTAAACTTTTTCAATATCTTCTCAATATAATGAGATTGAGAAATTGAAATCCCAATGTTTCCTTTTCTAATTCTTATACCAAGAATTACCTCAGCCTCCCCCATGTCTTTCATATCAAAACTAGATGATAAGAATTTCTTGGTTTTATCAACTTCTTCTAAATCAGTACCAAAAATCAACATATCATCTGCATATAAGAAAATCATGACTCCTTTACCAGAAGTATCAAATTTGCTATATACACACTTGTCAGCTTAGTTTAATGCAAAACCATTAGACAAGACAACATCATCAAACTTTTGATGTCATTGTTTTGGTGCTTGTTTCAAACCATATAATGATTTCTTCAACTTGCACACTTTGTGTTCATTTCCAGGCATCACAAACCCTTCAGGTTGTTTCATGTATATTTCCTCATCCAACTCACCATTCAAGAATGTAGTTTTCACATCCATTTGGTGAATCACAAGATTATGTATAGCTGCAAGAGCTAATAATAATCTAATAGTAGAATTCTTGGCAACAGGAGCATAAGTACCAAATAAATCAATGCCTTCCTTTTGTCTAAAACCTTGGATAACCAATTTGGCTTTATACTTATCAATTGTGTCATCCACCTTCATTTTTCTTTTGAGGATCCATTTACATCCTAATGCCTTGCAACCAGGAGGTAAATCAGTCAATACCCAAGTATTGTTATGCATGATAGAATCAATCTCATCATGAATTGCCTCTTTCCAGAAATGAACATCCCTAGAAGCCATAGCTTCACTGAAAGTCTTTGGATCCTCTTGAATATTAAAACAATATTGATGTTGATAAATAGTCTCATTCCTTGTTCCTTCAACTAAATATAGTTGAAAATCAGATCCAAAAGACTTAGCTTTTCTAGCTCTGGTGCTTTTCCTAGGTTCAGGTACAGAACTTGCACCACCAGAAACATATTCAGCTTGAGGAGTACTCTTGCTGGAAGATTGATGAATCATGCCCCTTGGTCTAGGTATAGATGTAAATCTTTCTTCATCAAATATAACATCTCTTGACTCTATCACTATGTTTACAGACACAGAGTCATTAGATTCTAAAACATAGAATCTATATGCTTTGGAATGCTCAGCATATCCAATAAAGATACAATCTATACCTCTCTCACCCAATGTTTTCCTTTTGGGTTCAGTGAGCCTTACAACTGCTCTACAACCCCAAACTTTGAGATAACTCAAATTTGGTACCTTTTTACACCAAAGTTCATAAGGAGTATTCTTACTCCTTTTATTTGGAGTTCTATTCAAGATGTAACATGCAGTTAACATTACCTCACCCCAAAACCCTTCACTTAAACCAGAATATGACAACATGGAATTAACCATTTCTTTCGAAGTCCTATTCTTCCTTTCAGCTACACCATTTTGTTGTGGTGTATATGGAGCTGTGGTTTGATGTATTATTCCAGTTGATTCAAAATAAACTAGATCATGATACTCACCACGTCTATCATTACGCAATACTTTTATTAATTCATTTTTACGAAGCTCAACTTGTTGTTTATAAATTTTAAATTTATCAAGTGCTTCATCCTTAGAATGTAGCAAATAGATATAACAATATCTAGATGCATCGTTAATAAAAGTAACAACATACTTCTTGTTTCCAAGGGAAGGTGTTGCATGGAAATCACATAAATCACTATGTATAAGATCCAACACCTTGCTTTCCCTAACAACATCTTTGAAAGGTTGTCTAGTGATTTTAGTTAGCATGCATGTTTTTACATTTTTCATTATTTTGCATATCAAAAGCAGGAATTAAACTCATTTTAGACATGTCTTTTAATCTCTTGTAATGAATGTGTCCTAGTCTAGCATGTCATAATTCAGATTTATGAAAATTATTGCTAGTACTACTAGAAGCCATGCAAACAGAATTATCACTAGAAGGATAATTAATATTAAGCCTAATCATTCCATTACATATATAGCCAAATCCCATAAAAAGAACCATGTATTGACAAGATATACTTGTCACTTTCTAACACTTGTTTGTAACCACAATTATTTAATACAATTTCAGACACGAGATTCTTACGAATCCCTAGAACACATAAAACATTATTCAAACACAAACATTTCCCAGAAGTAAAAGTAAGTAAAACAGATCTTATGCCCTTGATTGTTTCAGTTGCAACATTTCCCATATTCACAACAGATCCATCTTCAATTGGTTGAAAGTCCTTGAACCAATATAGATCTTTGCAAACATGACTTGTTGCTCCCGAATCAACCTACCATGCAACTTTATCATCCTGCACATAAAATGCTTCAGAAATCACAGAAATATAATTCTAAATATATTTAGAATTCTGCATGAAAACAGAAATCTGACCTTGTTGCTTTTCTGGATCCTTGGATCCACTTGGTCCAGCACCATCCTTGTTCACTTTGCGGAGACGACAATCTTTCTTGAAGTGACCCAGTTTGTTACAATTCCAACAAACCAACTTAACCTTCTTGTTGGAAGACTTGTCATCCTTTCCTTTAAACTTCCTTTTTCCATTAGACTTCTTGGGATTCTTTGAACTTTCTCCTTCCACCATGTTCATAGAAGAGGAACCAACTTGGTTCTTGCCTTTAGGATTGTTATCATGTTCTTGAGTCCTTATGGACTCTTCAATCCTTAAATGGCTTCCAAGTTGAGTCAAAGTCAATTCCTCTTTGTTATGTTTCAGATTGTGTTTAAAATTCTTCCAGAAAGGGGACAGTTTGTCAATGATCACAGCCACAGAAATGGCTTCATCCATTTTCAGATTGTGTTGAGCAAACTGTCCCAAAATCCTTGACATTTCATGGAATTGTTCCATAACAGGCCTGGAGTCAATCATCTGGTAACCCATAAAGTTACTAACAAGAAACTTCTTACTAGAAGCATCTTCAGCCATGTACTTGGATTCAAGAGAATCCCACAGTTCTTTTGCAGATTCGAAATTTTGATAGATATTAAAAAGAGAGTCAGACATACCATTGAGAATATGACCACGACATATGTAATCATCATTTTCCCACTTTGATCTTCTTCTTGTTGCCTACAAAGGTTCATCTTCAACAGATCTGGTAAGACTGGCATGGGTGTACCCAAAACATACACCACTTTCAGAGTGGTAAGGAGAAACTTCATCTTCTTCTTCTATCTACGAAAATCTTGCCCTTCAAACTTGTTCAGTTTTTCAAATTTACTTGTCATTTCCTTCACATAATCACCACTTGCCAAGATCACATAAATACTTTAATCTTAGTAAAAATTTGGGATAAAATGGCCTTGGAAATTCTAAGAATTGTGGTTTCACTTTCAGATTAAAGTATTTGGGTGGTACTCCCAATCTTTAATCGGATAAGACTCGGAATTGAGAGCAAGAACTGAAAATATGGATGTTATGAATTTCGTGATTGTTGTTGTACCCAGAAAAATGACGACCAAAAAGATTAAGTAGTTCATTTGTCTGAAAACTGTCAAGGCAGTTTTCTTTGTCCAAAAACTATTCCAACTGTCAAAACCAATAACAGTCACAAAAACGGATTTTTAATAAAGGTTAAAATGAAGTCAAAAACCGGATTCATTTACAGAAAATTCAAATTTCTAAGGCATTTTTTATATAGCAATATAACTCGACCAGCCAGGGGCTCAGCCCCTTGGACCCCGCTCCCAGGGGCTGCTGCCCCCGGACCCCCATTCGTTTAGGGACTTCGCCCCTAAATGATAGTCTACTTTAAATATTGAATAAATTTAAACAAGTGTGCACTCCGCACCTTCCTTACTTTTTTAATATTCATCAAGATTGATTTTTGGTCAACAAGTCAATCCATTACACTTAAATACACATTGATGATACAAAATCACCAAAAAAACTCACAATTGTGTTTACGCACACAAGAAAAAGCTTGCAACAACACAATCGTGAATTTACCAAATTTTTGGTATGAATCTGAAAAATATTTATAAAAAACTCAAAATGTGTGTAATTGCTTTTACCTCACAAACTTCCCAACCACTTCCTTCTTTGTAACATTCCACCTGCCAAAATTATGGTGAAAAACACAAATGACAAAAACAATTAGGAAAAAAAGTCAAAGTCATGGTTACATATACATACAATCTCCAAAACTTTATTGTCGTCCATGGATCCACCAATTGCGTACAGTTTTTCACCAATCACAAAAGCACCAAAATTGCCTCTACAAACATTCATTGGTTCACACTCCACCCAACAACCCATGCGAGAATCAAAACATTCAACTGTCTGTAAATACCTTTATCCATCATATCCTCCAACCGTGTATCTATTATATATGTAAACCAATCAACAAAAGGTTCATATAAATTTATAAGCAATTCAAAAGAGAACACAATGTTATAAACTTACAGTTGTTCAGTATAAATTTTTTGGAATGACTGAAGGGTGAATAAAGTGTGTTATTTTTATCATCAACCAATCTTGTTTGTTTTTCTTTTATAGTAAAGAGAAGTGATACCTGAAAGGAAAAAGAACAGTAAGTTTGTATCTTTTGAGAAATAGAAAGTAATCCCAATAGAAAAAGAAAATGCAAGCTCTGTATGCAGTTGAAGACAAAATCAAAAGGGTTTAGAAGTCAAATGAGCAGCATACCATTTAAGGTTCAAGAACACAGATTACGAACACAGAAATACCATGGAAAACCTGACAGAGCAACACAACGAGGAAGGATGTGTTGTGAGATATGTTGAGTGTGAAGCCATTGGGCTGGTCAAAAGGCAGAAAACATGGCAGAAAACATGGAAGAAAAGCAAGTCAAAAAGGTGTAAAAGGAGAGGTGATCCATATTTCCCGGATGCATGTTTCATGGCTGCTTTTCTTGTTCAATTGTTTACTTCAGACTCTATATATGAGTCTCATCTGTATTGTAAAAATAAGCAACAAAGAGTGTGCAGATTAGCACCAAGAATATAAACTCCTAGTTACCGGTGGACGTAGGTCAAGAATGACCGAACCACGTTAAATCCCTCGTGTTCATCCTTGTGTTCTTGTTTTTCCGTGAGCTGTGTGTGTGTTTAGAGTCGTGTGTTAAGTGTCTCGACACTAACAAGTGGTATCAGAGCAAGGTTTTAGCTCCAGAAGGTGATTTTCAGTTTTTTGGTCGAAATTTTTTTTCGTCAAAAACGATTTTTGTGTATACCGTTGGAAAGGTCTCGTTCCGAAGATTCCGAAAATATTTTTTTCTGAATTTTTTGACCACCGGAAGACGTCCAAATCGCCGGTCAAAGGTTGACGGAATAGTTACCGGAAACACCAGTTTCGCCGGAGAAGACGACATTGTAGCACCGAAGTTCCGCCGGAGAAGACGACACTGTAGCACCGGAGTTCTGCCGGAGAAGACGACACTGTAGCAGACACTGTAGCACGACGTCAGCGGTGACGTCAACAGAAACTGTAGCAAGCACTGTAGCACGACGTCAGCGGTGACGTCAGCAGGCACTGTAGCAGATTTGAAAAATTGCAGTTTAGCCCCTGAACTTTCAGAAAATTGCAGTTTAGCCCCTGAACTTTCAGAAAATTGCAGTTAATGGTAGAAAACAGTAAGCTTCAGATTGAGAAGTTTGATGGGAAAGATTTTGGTTGGTGGAAGATGCAAATTGAAGATTTGCTCGTGCAGAAAGACTTGGACGCAGTTTTAGGTGAAAAACCGGAGGCGATAACACAGGCAAACTGGGAGATTTTGGATAAGAAGGCCAAGGCATTTATTAGACTGACGTTGTCAAAGGATGTTGCATTCAACATTTTGAAGGAGACCTCGGTAAAGGGAATCATGGAGGCATTGTCTATATGTACGAGAAGCCGTCGGCAGCAAATAAAGTCTTCCTGATTCGGGAGCTAGTCAACACGAGGATGAGGGAAGGAAGTTCAGTTACAGTACACATCAACAATTTGAACTCGATTTTATCCAGACTTGGGTCAGTGGGAATAAAATTTGAGGACGAAGTTCAAGCTTTACTACTGTTATCATCATTACCTGACAGTTGGTCCGGAACAGTTACAGCCGTTACTAGTTCCTCAGGATCGAAAGAGCTCACTTTTGAGGGAATTCGGGATTTAATTCTAGGCGAAGACGTCAGACGAAGAAATTACGGGGAATCATCATCAGTGAACAATTGAATGCGGTCAGAGGTAGAAAAAATAACAGGTAGTGGGAGCGGGAACAGGAGAAGGAGTCAGTCGAGGACTCGAAATGATGTGACTTGTTGGAACTGTAAAGAGGTTGGACATTTCAGGAATCAATGTCCAAAAGACAAGAAAGAAGTTAACGCTGCAGTAGACCATTCAGATGATGATGTTTTGATCTGTAGTGTGGAGAGCAATGTGGATTCCTGGGTTATGGATTCGGGTGCTTCATTTCACGCTACCCACAGCCGTGAAGCACTGCAGAATCTAAAAGAAGGAGATTTTGGTAAGGTAAGACTGGCGAACGATGAGGTTCTTGATGTGACGAGCATAGGTGACTTAGTTTTGAAGACTCCAGTTGGTCCATGGACTTTGAAGGATGTCCGGGTAATTCCAAGTCTGAAGAAACAGTTGATTTCTGTTGGGCAGTTGGATGAACAGGGACACGAGGTTAAGTTCAGGAATGGGCAGTGGAAGGTTGTCAAAGGAAATCTTGTGATAGCTCGTGGACATAAGAAGGGTTCATTATATATAGTCAGATTACCATCTGAGGAGTAACCGTCCCAGTTCAGAAGAAAAACAAATCCGGTTCATAGAGTCTCGTGGACAGAAGAAGGTTTGCTTTGCAGATGGCAAACCCAGAGTCACAGGTCAGATTCAGGTTGAACGTGTTGGAACGGTTCAGAAAAACCAGTCAAGGGCATTCATAGCAGTGGGAGCAAGGTTGTGCTTCAGCTAGAATACCCAGAACACAGTGGGTTAAGAGAACTAGTATTCCATCTGTAAAAGTCTCTCCAGATTATCTGCTTCATATGGAGAGTGTCGTTTGTTCTCAGGATGTTCCAGGATCGGGCAGTTCATTTCAGTGGGAGCCGGTGGAGACAGAGAACAGGTCAGTGGCAGACTTAGTCATGACTGATGTGTTGGAGCTAACGGAAGCTTCAACTAGCCTTCAGGTAAATTGAAGAGAAGGCCAGGGTAACTAGGAAGGAGTCAAGATCAAAAGTTTTTACAGAAATACAGATACACAGTTGAAGCTATGGTGAAGATTGTTTCGTGGCTTCAAGTGGGAGATTGTTGAGTGTGAAGCCATTGGGCTGGTCAAAAGGCAGAAAACATGGAAGAAAAGCAAGTCAAAAAGGTGGAAAAGGAGAGGTGATCCATATTTCCCGGATGCATGTTTCATGGCTGCTTTTCTTGTTCAATTGTTTACTTCAGACTCTATATATGAGTCTCATCTGTATTGTAAAAATAAGCAACAAAGAGTGAGTGCAGATTAGCACCAAGAAATATAAACTCCTAGTTACCGGTGGACGTAGGTCAGAGAAGGACCGACCGAACCACGTTAAATTCCTCGTTTTCATCCTTGTGTTCTTGTTTTTCGTGAGCTCTGTGTGTGTTTAGAGTCGTGTGTTAAGTGTCTCGATCCTAACAAGATAGTGGTTTCCAACACCATACAACGGGAATCAGACACAAAATCCAAACCCTATTTATAAATAGAATCATAGAACGATAGAAAGTACAAAATTTGTCTGAGCGATAGCAAATAAGTAAAGGGGAAGACCTTGAAATCGTTGTTGGTGAACCCCACGACCTCCATATAGGTCGTAGCTGACCATGACCACCACAGTATACGCCACACTACACCTGACGACCGAAAATTGAAGTTGGAACCACCCTATTCATGCAAGGCCAACCAACTGAAAACCATAAACCAACATCAAAAAACACAAACACTTAAAATCAGAGACTGCCAATGCAACCCTAAATGAACGTAACAACGAAAAACCAAAGAAATCGAGATTAAAGAGCATAAACCTGTAGAAGTAAGCCTCAAGAGCAAAGAATAAGCTTGAAATCCAAAATAAAACAGTAAGTGTGTCGTGTGTGTGGGATTGAATTGAATCGGAGGATAAAGAAGCTAGACAATATTCAAAAAGAAAGAGTACAGAGGAGACCGAGGAGACCAATTGGTGGCGGCGATATTCAAAAAGAAAGGTGGAGAAAGAGTGTTGAAAACACTTCACTGGAGACGTGAATTGGAGGATTCAATGTCGTTTTTTTGGTGGTGAAGGTTGAAATCAAGAACCGAGAGTGCATCTACTGCTCCCGATGTCGGTAGAAAATCAAAAATCAAATTGAAGCGAGAAAAAAGAAGCAAAGGTAGAAGATCTAGTTACCTGGACCAAGGCTGTGGAAGCGGTGATTGATCTGAGTTGACCGGTGCAATTGTGGGTTGGTAAACGAAAGAGCGGTGGAGGATTAAGAGTTGTAAAATATTGTCGGTGCAATGTGCTGCGATGGCAATACAACAGCAGAGGAGTACCACCAGCAGGAAAAGGAACTTCACTTTGGAGCGATTGAAATTAGGGGTTTAGGATACTTCCGATAGGCGTACAAATTGATGGTGGTGGTGAGTTGCATCATAGAAAGAGTCGGTGGAACGCATATTGGAGCAATGGCAGTGGTGGTAAACAGAAGAAAGGTAGAAAGGTAGAAGAAGGTTCGAGGAGGCCAGCTGTGGATTGGTTTGAGCGGTAAATGAAACATGTGTGGATTGACTTGATAAGGAGCGGAGTAGGTGGAAAGCACAGGACACGTAGCCAACATCCATCAGTGGGGTTTAGAATTAATATATAACATCCATCACTTAAAGCGGAATATATATATATATATATATATATATATATATATATATATATATATATATGTTAAAAAGTGTCTCCTTAGGAACAGTAAAGTTCCTAAGGATTTGGCAAAACCGGTCCTTTCTTTATGGCAGTTTGTTATCTTCTGGATTTGTTGCTGAGCCTTTTTGTTTTGGGAAATTTATGCCATTTTGTCAATTCTTTATGAATACATGTTCTTATTTCATCAGGTCTGTGTCTTTTGTCTGTGATACGTGTCATACAACACCTGCTTCACCGCCTCTTGCTTCACCGCCTCTGACTTACAGTAGCATTTACCCACCGCCTTCCTCCGATTAATTTTGCTCATCCCTTCTAATCAGAGACGCGCCCACAAAAACATCAGTCGGTGTTATTCTAATTTACCGTTTTATCTATATCCGTCTTCTACCTTTTGTATCCTTCCAGTAGACCATCATTCCTCTTTCCTTTTTTCTCTATCTCCACCCGATGGTTCACTTTGGTGACGCTTCTCTGAAGTCACCTTTTGACTGGTGTGTTCAATCGGTCGGGAGGAAAGTAAGTAGAACAAATATCGGGACATAATGAACACCAGGTGGATTAATTTTGTCGGCAGAAGTATGATTTGCTAACTCCGGTTCTCTCCGGACGACAGACGACCTTTCATCAAACATGAGTTCATTGATTCAGTTTCACGCCGTCAGTCGAATCAGTCCCTCAAGCACACGACGGCACTACAGTCTCCACCGTCGATCCCTTCCCTCCGTTCATCAGCGACAACTGCGACACATGGAATCAGGTATAACATCTCCATCTTTCTTATATTTACAAATCATAACGGATCCATCTGTACTTCATAACATCGGCTCATCTGTTCAAAATTGATCGATCCGTTCTTCATAATATCGACTCATCTGTTCTGAATAAAAAATGTTACGTTTGGTGTTGGATTAAAATAAAAACGAATGTATTCATAAACTTTTATCAAATCAACCTATCTGATTGCAGATTTAGATGACAAATGATGTGGAAACCCCTGAAAAAGATCCGCTCCCTCCACCACCTATCGTTGAAACAAAAAACTGGGTATGATATTTTCCACCAACAAGTTTCAGGATACGGTATAGCAGCCGGATACTGCTTATCTGCTTCTTTACTCTCAATCATCAGGTAAATTACCACCACTGCGGTTTGGGGATTTTTTCTGAATACTGCTTATTTGCTATATTTGCTTTTATACATAATTTATTTCTTTGTTTGAACTTTGAACAGATACTCCCCATCAAACTGTCACCGCCATCGACTTCTTGAAGAACATGGAAACCCACCGTCTATCTCTAAACTCATCTAAAACCCACCGCCTCTCCAAAACCCACCGTCTCTCTCTAAACTCATTCCTCCACCATCTTCTGGGCATTCTCGCTAACAAAGGACAAACTCACCTGATCGAACCATACAGAATAGTGACGAGGGTTAGCAATTTCTGTTCCCGACAACGTCACTATTGCAATCTAATTTGGGGGAAAAGGTTCTTTCATTCACTAATTCAACCCACTTTTCTTTTGCTTATTCTTAATGTCTTGTGTCGTTTTTTTCTACAAGATTTTATAAAAAAAATTATTCCTGATGGGATACTGTTTTAACCGGCAGACTAGGTATTTGATAAAATGTGTGAATAAGTTGGTGTTTCAGTTTCATATTTGCTTGCTTAGTATGGACCTCCACTAATCTGTTAATCTTTTTTTTTCTTTTGGTTCATTCGGTTGGCGGTTGACTAATATTGGTAACATGTGTATATGTTTGTTTTTCAGGGTTTTGACTATGAATGGAGTGTTACTACAATTCCATGGTTCCTAGAACCATATATGGCTTAAGGTGCATTTTTGAAACTCAAATGAAGTGAAATTATGATGATAACAGGTTATTATGTGGAGTGGTTTACCAATGGAATCATTATTAGATAATCGAAAAATTTAGAAATCATTAATAATGTTTGTTCTTTATAAAGATTGGAGATTTGAAGTTTTTCTATTGTAAAATATGAAAATCAAGAATTTGTTTACTATGACTCTCGATTATAGTTCTATCTAAAGGAAACTTTCCATATTTCAAGATTAAGGATTATAATATATCCTCGAATCTGTCTTTTTTGTTCATTCTCATCATCAAGCTAGCTACAAAAACTAGAAAGGGGAGTGGAGTTCAAATTGACAAAACCTTTTTTTTTATGAAACTTATTGAATATATGATGTTGTATTAAAGTTAAAAACAATGCAATTTTTTTGATATTGAAGAAAAGGAGAATGCCCCAAAAATAGTTAAAGATGTAAAGATAATTAGTGCAGGAAAAATATTGGAGAACAATAGACCAATATGTGAATGCAGGAGTCCTTTGTGTGATGTTCCTGGTGGAGTTACTACTATGCATGTTGTCGTTAGCCAACCACCTCAAGAAAAAGGTAAGGGTTCATGAAGAAGGTACTAATTAAAAGATAATTTAAATACAAAAAAATAATTAATAAAGGGTAATTATGTCATTTGTTGTTCACATTCTAAATCTTTTGATGTTGCAAACGAAACAGAAACATAGAAAGGAATGTAATTGCGTTTATATTTCATTCCGTTTTCTACTAACCAAAATATCCATTTACGAACATATGTTGTAAATGACTGAAATACCCTTTTTAAAATGGTTTTAAAAAGCTTCATGAACAAGAAACTGATATCATGACAGATTTCAGTTCCTTCATATTCCAATTCCTTCCAAAACATTATTCAAATCAAACACAAATACATTCTAATTTATATTTTTCTTTTATGACAAATCAACAGAAAAGAAAGTAACAGGTGATCCAAAGATAAACAAGTGTGTATATGTGATATTATAAAAAGCAACTCCAAATACAACTGATTTACATCTTTGCAAGTTGGTTGCCATTTTACTTTTTTTTTTACCAATATAGGCAACATACTTTAGTCTTTATTTGTTACATATTGCTATTATCATTAAATTATTTAAATTTGTGCAAGTATGTTGCTATTATTGCTCAATAAGTGTAACTATGCTATTATAGTGAATAAAAGATAAAGTCGACTGATTATATTGATAAAAAGAATAAACTACGTTTTTATTTCTTACAGTTTACCCATTTAAAAAGTAGGCATTTTTATGAATTTATGGCAGATAAAGGATGCTTGGGTTTGCATAAAGATGATTATGCTATTAATGAATTGTTTGGATTAGGATTTTACAAAGAAAACAATATAAGAAAAAAAAGAAAATTAGTAAGATTACACTTGAAACCACTTTCCTGGTGGCTTTTGATTCTTCGTTGCTTGAAAAACTGTAATTCTATAGGGGCAAAGCCAGGGTTAATTATATTTGCCCCCCTTCACTTACTAATGGTAGCCTCTACAAGGAAGACCTACATGGTAATGTATGATCATTTTAGTCATTTGTCTTATAGCAACAATCTAAATCACAGTTAACTTTCTTTTGTTTTATTCAGCTAGGTGAAGAATTATGATTTATAATGGGTGGACAAAACTTGGTGCTTCCCCACAGGACGTTGTACATAATTAGTTCAGACATATGGAATTCATCAAAAACAATTTTCTATTGAGTTTTTTTTTTGGGTAGTTTACAAAAATGGTCCCTGAGTTTGTTGGAGATTGTAGGTGAGTTACTATTTAAACACAAGGCTCTAGATTACGATGCACTTTTGTTTATATATTATTCGACTAGGCTACTACTTTCCATAAAACTGATCACAGTTCTCAAGTAAGCTACAAATATGTTTGTCACCGGGTTAACCTCTTTCAAATTATAGTAATGCAATTAAGAAATACCAATATACATTCATTTTTTCACCGTGTTTGTAAATCGGAGAATTGCAAAGAATAGCAACATACTTTACTGTGGTTACCAATTCAGGCAATATACAATAGTTTC